CCCTGGCTGCAGCCGGCCGGCTGGCCCTCACCACCCTCCCGTTCCAGGACCCTGTGACTGTGGTGGTAGACGACCTTCGTCTCTGCACCGTGAAGCTCTGCCCTGACTCGGAAAGGCGGTTTTGCTTTGAGGTGGTGTCCCCCAGCAAGTGAGTGCAGACGGGGGGGGGCGATGCCCTGATGCAGCTAAACCTTTACCGACAGGAAGGCAGGCCAATCGCAGGGGCGTCTTGGGGGCCCCTGTGTAGCACCAGGCATTGACGCTTTGGTGGCTGGATTGGGGGGCAGCGCGGGGGGGGGGGAGGGTGCCTTTAGGGGCAGGGGATGGGGTGACGGGGGATATTTAGAAAGATGGGACCAACTGGTGCCAAATTTCTATCCGGCTGGTATCTCGTTCTCTCTCTACGGCGGGAACCAGTTGAATGGCAGGTGAATGTCAGCCCGCCTGTCCCCCCACGTGGCTCCCCCGGCCTCAGAAGCCTCCCCGCCCCACTGTCCCCTCCCGCCCAGGTCCTGCTTCCTGCAGGCCGACTCGGAGCGCCTCCTGCAGCTGTGGATCAACGCCGTGCAGAGCAGCATAGCCACGGCCTTCATCCAGGCCCGCCTCGACGACGGCCCCTGGGGGCCAGGCCAGGTGCCTTAACAGGAGGGTGCGGGGGCCCGGCCGCCCAGGGAGACGAGGCACCCCTTCCCCGGGCCCCATGGCCACTCCGTCTCCCCCCGTCTCCCCCAGGGCTCAGGACCCCTGGCCGCGGGCTCCTCCGCCACGCTGGGCTGTGGCGGAACCGCGAGGGGACGGGAATCCGGCGGTGCTGGGCACGTGGCAGCCCAGGTGCAGAGCGTGGACGGCAACGCCCAGTGCTGTGACTGCCGAGAGCCAGCCCCCGAGTGGGCCAGCATCAACCTTGGTGTCACCCTCTGCATCCAGTGCTCCGGGATCCACAGGTCACCACCCGTGACCCGAGCGCCGGGGGCTGCTCTCCTTCTGGCTAAGGGCGGGGGGGGGTTGGGAGGGGGCGGGATTGAGCCCATCACACAGACCCTTCCCTCCCACCCTGTCCTGGCTTCCTTTCTTAGATCCCGGCCGGCCCTGGGCACAGGGTCCTGGTCTGGCCAGAGATGCTTAGTGGCTTGACCGTGGGGTCAGAGGTCTTGAGGGTAGGGGAGCCGATGGAGAGCAGAGAGCGAAGAGGTCACTAGGCCCCAGCAAGTCTAGGAGGCCCTCCGCCCGGGTCAGCCTGGCGGAAGGAGGGGAGCGGCAGGGCGAGAGGGGGGAAGCTGAAGGCCCTGAACGTGAAATGTAGGAGGGTGAAGCGGGACGGTGAGCAGAGCAAGGCCACGTGGCCCGCTGCCCTGCCCCCACCTGGCCAGCACCTCTGCTGCAGGGGGGCCCTGCCTCCAAGTCCTCCCGGGGAGCCGCGGCTGCTGCCACCCCACAAGGGGCCTGACCCCCGCTCTGGCCCTCCAGGAGCCTTGGAGTTCATTTCTCCAAAGTCCGGTCCCTGACCCTTGACTCGTGGGAACCAGAGCTGGTGAAGGTGACTGGCGGGGGGTGGGGGTGGGGTGGGGGGGGGGAGGTCTCCTGATGGGAAGGGGGCCTGCGGGGGGGGCTGAGTCCAGGGGCTGCAGAGCCCTGAGGACTCAGACACTCACCTCTCCCCTCCACCTGTCTCCGCCTCTGCCTGGGCCCACCCGAAGCTCATGTGCGAGCTGGGGAACGTAGTCATCAACAGGATCTATGAGGCCCGGGTGGAGGCCATGGCCGTGAAGAAACCTGGGCCCAGCTGCTCCCGGTGAGGTTGGGGTGTGTGTGGGGGGGCTGCCCGCTGTGGGGAAGGAGGGAAGACGGTCCCCTCCTTCCCCACCACACTCTCACAGGCAGGAGAAGGAGGCCTGGATTCATGCCAAATACGTGGAAAAGAAGTTCCTGACCAAGCTTCCGGAGATTCGAGGGCGGAGAGGGGGCCGGGGGCCCCCCAGGGGGCAGCCTCCCGTGCCCCCAAAGCCTTCCGTCCGGCCCCAGCCCGGGAGCTTCAGATCCAGGCCAGGTAGAGGGCTGCTAGGGCATCGACTGAGCCCGGCCGTGTGCCCCGTGAGGAGGGCAGAGTACGGAGGCCCGAGCCTTCCCCTCGCCAGTACTGGGGGGTGGGGGAGGGGGCAGACCACAGCAACACTGGTTTTACCAGGCAAGAGTTTGGGGGTTAAGGGAAGAATGGGAAGGAGTGTAGGGCTGGGAAAAGGCTGCTGAGGGTGAGTGACGCTTGAGTTGGAGAAGGTGGTTGGACAGGGAGAGGTGAGGGATGCTGTCTATCCCCCCCCCGCCCTAGGGTCCCCCCCCCACACATGCACCTCCCACCCCGCACCATCCCGCCTGCACCTCCTACCGAAGTCCCCAGCGTCCTGAAGTCCCTCCCAGAACTGAGAAACGACCTGTCCCATTAGAGCATCCGCGAACCGTGCTGAGGGTCTCTTCCCACCCCCTAACAGAGCCCCCCTCTGATGACCTGGGCGCCCTCCACCCTGGGGCCCTGCTGTTTCGAGCTGCTGGGCATCCTCCCTCCCTGCCCACCATGGCTGATGCCCTTGCCCACGGAGCTGACGTCAACTGGGTCAACGGGGATCAGGAGAATGCCACTCCGCTGATCCAGGCCACGGCTGCTGTGAGTCCTGCCCACTGCCCCGCCCCCACCATTAGGCTTCTTCTCTCCCATTCCCGCGGGGAGTCTGAGCCCTGCTCCTACCCCTCCTCCCACCCTGGAGAGAGTGATAATGACAACCCACAGACACTGGGTTGCGAAGGGTGTGTGATTTGGGGGCAGACAACCTGGGTTTGAATCCAAGCTCCCACCGCTTACAGTTGTGAACTTCTCTGTGCCTCAGTTTGCCCACCTGCGAAATAGGGATAGCATACCTCATGTGAGGCTGGACTGTGGCTTTAACGCATGACCTACTGTCAAAAGCTAGGGCAGAGCCTGACCCAGCCGAACCCTTACACTCCTGGCTCCCCTACCCCACCCTCTCAGCTGATCCCATCCGAAAGTATCTTTGGCCTGCTTCTGAAGATGCCACCTTCTCTCCCCGCTTGCAACTTCTCGCTGCAGAATTCTCTTCTGGCCTGTGAGTTTCTCCTCCAGAACGGGGCGAACGTGAACCAAACGGACAACCACGGCCGGGGGCCGCTTCACCATGCGACCATTCTCGGCCACACGGGGTAGGGGCCGCGGGGATGACGGCTGTGGGAAAGAAGGCTCGGGTGGGCCGAGTGGCCGGCTGACCCTCGCTGTCATTTCTAGGCTGGCCTGCCTGTTCCTGAAACGGGGGGCCGACCTGGGAGCCCTGGACTCAGAAGGCAAGGACCCGCTGACCATCGCCATGGAAACAGCCAACGCTGACATCGTCACCCTGTGAGGAGGCCTGCGGGGCGGGGCTAGAGCTTGCCCTGCCCCCTTGGGGCGGGGCTAACGCCCAGACGGCCTGGGCCAGCTCTGGGACTCGGCTGGAGAAGTGCCGTCCCCAGCGTAGATTGGGGCGTGGAGTAGGAAGGGGGCCGGGTAGGGTCCAGGGACGGTGAGTTCGTCCTGAGTGAGGGACGTCGATGTTGTTGAACGCCTTTAAGCACTGGACCCCGGGGGAGCAGATGAATTAAACCACCCAGCTTACAGGATGGGAAGTCCGAGTGGGGGGAGTGAAGCCAAAAGTCATTCATACGTTCATTGCTTCCCCTTCAGGCTACGACTAGCAAAGATGAGGGAGGCCGAAGCGGCTCAGGGCCAGGCAGGTAACGTACCCCCCGCCCCCGCCCCACACTGTAATTCTGGGCCTCTGGCCCCCGAAGCCCGGTCCCCGTCGCGCCCAGCTGCACTGATTAATGTCATACTTTTGCAACAAATCTGCGTGGGGCGCAGCTGGTGCGCCGGGTCCTCGGAACAAAACGGAGAACCCGCGAGGGCGCTGCGCGTCGGCGCTGCTGTCCCTCCCGCCACGCCTCCAGCGCGCCCGCGGGCCGCGGGTCCCCCCACCCCCACCCCGCGCTCGGCCGCGCCCGCCCAGCCCTCCCTCCCCCCACCCAGGAGACGAGACGTATCTGGACATCTTCCGCGACTTCTCCCTCATGGCGTCGGACGACCCGGAGAAGCTGAGCCGGCGTAGCCACGACCTCCACACTCTTTGATCCCAGGCCTTCGTGGGCCCGCAGCCCCCAGTCCCCTCTCCCCGGCCGCCGGCCCCTCGGTCAATAAAGCCGCCGTGCTTTGCGCTTCCCGTCGTGGTTCTTTGGCAGGGCGCCGCCTTCGGGCCGGGCCGGGGACTGGGCGCCGCGGCTGCCAGGGTGCGCGGGCGGTTGGGGTTTGCGAGCTCGAGTCACGCGAGGGGCGCCTTCCGGACAAACTAGGTGGTAGCTTCGGCCGCAGCCCTGGCGCCGGGCGGCCCCGAGGCGGGGCTCTCGGGCTCGCGCGACGTGGCCAGACGAGTCCGGCCGGGGAGAGGCCGCCCGCGTGGGCTGGGGGCCGGCCTTCCGTAGGGGAGGGTAGCTGGCGTCGGGCCGGGACGGAGAGGCTGGCTTCGGCCACCCCGGCCAGGAGGCATCCCCGGAATGCGGCGGCTCAGCACCCGCCCCCTCGGGAATTCCCTGCGGGAGCGAGCGGGGAGGGCACCGCCTCCAAGCCGGGGACCGCCGGGCCTGGGGGGCCCTCGGCGAGCTGCGGACGTGAGGCCCGGCACACCTGCGGGGCCTGCGGGGCGGACGCGGCCGCATCCGGAGCGACGCACCTGAGTCACCCTGCGGACCCCACCCCCGCCCGCGTCCGCCCGCGTCCGCCCGTGTCCGCTCGTCCAGCCCGTCCGCCCCGTCTCTCCGGTTCCAGACTCTCGGCTCCCACCTCCGCCCGGGCCGCGCGAGCCGGGCGGGGGCGGGGGGCGGGGCGCCAAGGGGGCGGGGCTGTCTCTTAAAGGGCTCCCAGCCGCTGCCCTTAGGCCACTTCCTGGGGGCGGAGAGGACTTCGGCGGCTGCGGCGACACCCGTGCAGGCGGCGGCGTCCGGGTCCCGAGAACCCCGGGCGGCTTCCCTCAGAGTGCTCCGGCGCGCCCGGCTCGCTCTGAGCGTGCGCCCTCGCTCCCCAGCGGATCCGGAGCCGCTCCGCCGCCAGCTGCGCTCAGCCCCGCCTCCGTCGCCAGAGACCCGCGCCGAAGCCAGGCCCTGCCGGGCCTCCGACTGGCCCCCGGCGCCGTGCGCGGACTCGCCCGCGGCGACAGCCATCGACCCGAGAACTCGGAGGCTGGGTCCTTCCGAGGGTCGGCCTGTGCTCGCCACCGTCACCTGCTGGCTGGACTCCGGAAACCCGCTGTCTGAAGACCGCAGAAGAGACTTGCTGACCCACCGCCCTGCATCGAATGCGTCTGGGCCGAAAGCTCCCTTCCCTCTCTGGCTTCTGTTCTTTTCGGCCGGCCGTGTCTGTGCCCGGAAACCATCCCCCACTACCAACGTAGCTGGGGTGAGCCCTAAATCTTCCTGCCTTGTGTTCCGACCTGTGCATCCAACCCCGAGAGAGTCTGAACGAACCTTAGGACCCAGTTCTGCCCACGCCCGCGGAGTTTGCGTTTTCTTCTCTGTCGGTGTCTCCTGTACTCCCCAAAATTTCGCCTCCTCCTGTGCCCTCTTCGCCCCCCTCTTTTGGGGGCCCTGTGACCCTGAATGTGGGGGGCACGCTCTATTCCACCACTTTGGAGACCCTGACTCGCTTCCCAGACTCCATGCTGGGGGCCATGTTTAGGGCGGGCACCCCCATCCCCCCCAACCTCAACCCCCAGGGAGGTGGCCACTACTTCATCGACAGAGATGGCAAGGCCTTCCGGCACATCCTCAATTTCCTGCGGCTGGGCCGCCTGGACCTGCCCCGTGGCTATGGGGAGACGGCCCTGCTCAGGGCAGAGGCGGACTTCTACCAGATCCAGCCCCTCCTGGACGCCCTGCGGGAACTGGAGGCCTCTCGGGGGACCCCCGTGCCCACAGCTGCCCTGCTCCATGCAGATGTAGACGCCAGCCCCCGCCTGGTGCACTTCTCCGCTCGCCGGGGCCCACACCACTATGAGCTGAGCTCTGTGCAGGTGGATACGTTCCGAGCCAACATCTTCTGCACCGACCCCGAGTGCCTGGGCGCCATGCGGGCCCGATTTGGTGTGGCCAGTGAGGACAGGGCAGAGGGAGGCCCTCACTTTCGTCTGGAGTGGGCCCCCTGTCCCGCAGAGCTCCCTGAGGTGGAGTATAGGAGACTGGGGCTACAGCCTCTGTGGACTGGGGGGCCGGGGGAGCTGCGGGAGGTGGTGGGCACGCCGGGCTTCCTGGAGGAGGTGCTGCGGGTGGCTCTGGAGCACGGCTTCCGCCTAGACTCCGTCTTCCCTGACCCCGAGGACCTGCTCAACTCCCGATCTCTGCGCTTTGTGAGGCACTGAAAACGCGGCCCTCCCGTCTGCCTGGGAGGGGGAGAGAACGGACAGCAAAGAGAATGAGGGACTCCCCCCACCACCACCACCACCTCCGAAGCCTCTTCTTAGCTCTGCCTCTGGAGCTGTGAGGGTCAGGGCTGCACCTTGACTGGAGCCCAGATGTGGGCAGGAGCTCCCGAACCTGAGCCGTGCAAAGGGTCTGGCTCGGTGCTAATCCTGGGAGGGGCGGGGAAGATCCCCTGGCTTGCTCTTGCGTGAGGCTGGGGGCCTGCAGTGTCTCCCCGTTGGAGCTCAGTATTTCAAGGGTCTAGAGAAATAGGGACAGCTCTCTGCCCAGGCTAGGCCTCGCAGAACCCTGGGGGGGACACCGAAGTGTGGGAGAAAGGAGGACTTTGAACTGCTCTGATGTGGTCTCCTGGACCGTGGCTTCTCCTGCGGCTGGATGGCCTGGCCAGGCCTGACAGAAGACAGACCAGAACATTCTGGAATATGGGAAGGGGGATCCTTTGCTCTGTCTCAAGTCACCTCCTGAAGGAGACAGAGAGGCCACACCCCACCCCACGGTGGCCTAAGGGAGCTAGGAGAATCCCCATTTACTATGGGGCTGGAGCCCCACACTCTAGAAAGCCAAGTTTTTAAAGGACCCTCCATTGATGGTGGAGCTGGCCTTTGGGAAGAGGGTGGCATCTTCTTGGGCCTTGGCCTTACTGCCTTCATGTGTGCACGCGTGTCAGCCAGAGCGTCTGAGCGACGTCTGGGCCTCTCACATCCAGGCTCCCGTCCGTGTGACAGTCTCTCCGTGGTCTCTGCCTGTGCAGGCCTGTTTGGGGTTGCCCAGCAACTGCTTTGGCGCTGGGTATGTCTGCCGTATGGGTGTGAGTAGATTGAGAATTAGTAGTTGAATCACGAGGGTGTGTGTGTGTGTGTGTGTGTGCACACATGTGTGTTCGCCTCCCCGCGTAGGCACGAGGGGCCTGTGGAAGCCTGGGTCGCCAGGGGCTTCCTGGTGAAAGGTAAGAGAAGTCACTGGGCCCCGCCGGCCCTTGGAGGCCTGTGTAGAACTCTTGGTTGCTAAGGCAACCGTGGGCAGGTTGCTAGGAGAGAGCTGGGAAGGCCCAAGGCGGCCCAGGGCAGAGGGGAGATGAACAGAGGAGGCCGGGAGGGTTGGAGGAGGATGTGGTTTCTGGGTCCCCGAGGGATGGGATCTTCACTCACGAGTTCTTCACGGTGGGAGGCGGGGGGGGGGGGGGGGGGCGGACTCACTCGCTGTTTATCGCGGGCCACGAACTTACAAGAAGAAAAATAAAATTGCTTTTTGGAACCTCAAACTTGTAAAGGCTGCTGCTGAGGGCCAGGGTGGGGGTGGGGGGCACTGCCCCCTTTGCAGCAGAAGCCCTGCGTTCTCTGCCCAGTCTTCTTCTGGCCCCCAGTTCCTTGGGCCCCTGCTTTGCCCTAGCCAGAGATGGAGCGGTGGTGCTGTTCCAGAATGCTCTAGAACCCCGAACACCGGCTGTTCCAGAACAGTCTAGAACCTCCGGGCAAAGGGTTGGATCCAGGATCGAAGCATTCCAGGCCTTCCCAGCCTACATGGGGCCAGCCTCCCTGTGCCACCCGCTAGCGGGCCTCATGTGGACGCTGGCACTAGGTGGGGTCTTCCTGGCAACCGCCCAGGCCTGTGTCCTCTGTCACCTCTCAGACCGTGACCTGTCGGGCCGCCTGGCTCGACTCTGCAACCAGGTGAAGGCTCGGTGGGAGACCTGTGAGGCCTCCTGGACCTTCCCGGCCTTTGCCTTAGGTAGGATCAGACATCCAGGGCCCGGCCCGGCAGCATGTGGCTCCCCAGCTGAGCCCCTCGGCCACCACCTGAGTCCCCAGCCCTGGGAAAGTCAGGAAAGAGTCACAGGTCCTTGCCTGTCTCCACAGATGAGGTGTCCACGAACAAAGTCATAGAGAAGACTCACAGAGTCCTGAGGGTCATGGGTGAGATCAAGGGCGAAGGCATGACCTAGGGGCTTGGATGGGCACCAGGGAGGGGGTTGGGAGGAGGGACCTGGGGAGGCAGGGAAGGGTGCAAGGCAGGTGGAGACGACGGGAAGGTGTAACCGGGGAGCTGCTGGGTGAAGCGTGGGAGGTGCGCCTGCCCTGGGGAGGCCCTGGGCAATACAGCTGCCCTCTGTCTCCCCAGAGATCAAAGGGTCTCCCTCCTCACTCTCTTTATATTGGCAATGGCTGCAAAAGGTCAAGTTTCCCGAGTACACCAGGGAAGGTACTGACGGGCAGGGACCTGGGGCACCCGGGCTGTCCGGTGAAGGGGTGTGTGGCTGAGTGTCTCCTCTCTCCCCACCCCTCCTTGTCTCTGGTTTCAGCATTCTGTGCTCCCGCCTGCCGTGAGTAGAAAAGGGAAGGGGTAGGTGAGGACGGGGGACCCGAGGAGAGCCTGGCGGAGGTCCCGGAGGGAGTGGGGTACTCTGGAAGGTGGGAGCCGGGACTCCCCCGCCCCAGCTCCGGCCCCGCTGTCTCCTGCAGGGGGCAGCACCGTCCTGTACAACTGTTCCACCTGCCAGAGCTTTGCCGTGCGCTGCTGGCCTCTAAAGCGCTGCCTCCCAGGTTCCGCTCCCCGCCCTCGCCTCACCCCTGCTCAGATCTCTGAGCTCTCGGGCTCCCCCCCACCCTGCCCCGCCACAAGGACAAGCGAGGTCCCCAGGATCACTCACTCCTTCCTGGGTTCCCTGCAGGAAGTCACGATCTTCGGGAAGCCAGGATTCTGCTCCTCTCCGTGTTCATAACTGTCCTGCTCCTGGGCGTCCTGAGCCTCGTGGTGGAGTGAGTGGGCAGATGGCGGGTGTGTGGCCTCGCCACCCTTGACCCCCCAGCACCTTCTACCACCGTCCCTGTGCCCTCTCCTCCCGGCTGCCTGCCCTGCCCCTCTCAGGCCCCCCATTCTCTGTGTCCCCTCAGGTCCAGACACTTCAAAGCAAAAAGTGACATGTGAAGACAGCCTCCCAGCCCCCACGTCCTTTGGAAGGGACCCGCCAGCCCCTCACTTCCAATCCCAAAGGCTCAGCCTTCCAGACCCTAAACCCAGCCGCCTCCGTGATCCCAGTGTCAGATGGCCTCCAGGGGCCCAGGCACCCACAGCTGGAAAGTTCCTCCCCTCCGGCCCTCAACTAATCAGCCAGAAGCAGTCACTGATTCCAGGAAAATGTCTACAGGAGGAAAGAACCCCCTCCACACACACACACACACACACACACACACACACACACCGCCGCCCCCACACCCCCTTCTGCCTGTTCTCGGAAAGCGGGGGCTGTTTGCCCCAGAAGCTGCTCTTGGCCCTCCTCTGACTGATTGGGAATCCGGGAACGAGGGTTCTGGAAAACTCCCTCCCTTTAGAGTGGCGACCACATCAGTCAGCCTGCTGGCATGCTATCCCTCCATTTAACATTGTGAAGCCTTGGCCTCCCACAGAGGCCTCCCTCCTGCCAAGATCAAGTAAACCTGCTTTTCAGTGGCCTCCGCCCGGCCTGGCCTCTGTCTACAACTGGGGAGGGCGGAGGGCGGACGGGAGACTCGGTGTAGCACAACGGTCCTCAACTGGGTGGGGGGTGGATTTCACACCCCAAGAGGCGTTCGGCAACATCTGGAGACATTTTTTATTGCTTCGATCGGGGGATGTGCTACTGACATTTAGGGGGTACACACGAGCAATGCCGCTGGCACCTTATGATGAATGTGGGCGTCCTCTGCGACACAGAGTTGATCTGCCCGACACCTCCGTCGTGTGTGGTTCAGAGACCCTGGCGTTTAGTCCGCTGGCTATCAGGAGCTTTGGGTTGGGTAGATGGACGAGGAAACGTAAAAAGAGAGGCCTGTCGCCAACCCCAAGTCTCCGTCAGAGGGGCTGGGCCTGGAAGGGATCCTGACACACACCTAGCCCGGTGGTTTTCAAACTGGGTACCTAGAGGCTCCAGGGCAAAGGTTCTCATCCGGCTGCACATCGAAGTCACCTGGGCCTTAGGTCCAGAGATTCTGAATTTAGTGGTGTGAGGTGGGGCCTCAGTGAATCTAACTTACAACCAGCCAGGGCTAGCACCGTTGTTTTTGGGGTGTCCATAAGGGTCCTGGGGATGGGGAGGGTGCCTACTCCTTCTAGGAAAGTACATTCGATATTATTGTACACAGTCTGGTCCAATCCCTTCATTTTATACCAAAAGGAGGGAAGGAAAGAAGGAGGGAGGAAGGAAGGAGGGAAGGAAGAAGAAAGGAAGGAAGGAAGGAAGCAAGACCCGAAGATCATATGCCAAGTTCTTACAACCTGCCCAAGATCATGCAACAAGTCACGTCCATTCATCTGACGGACGCTTAGCGAATACGCGTCGGGCGCCAGGCAGCGTCACTGCCCAGCCTGGGGTGAGAAGCCACAACTGCCGACCGCCCGGGCACCACGGCCCCCTCGGGTCTGCAGCAGCCCTTCCCTAGCCCTTCTTGCCTGTGGAATACAATAGGCCTGGCCCTTGACCCTGACTTTCAAGACTCTCCATCAGCAGCTCCCCACGTCTTACTTGGTCCTCGTGCCAGAGCTCACCCATCTTGGCCCTAAGTGGAATCTCCACCCGAACGCCCCACAGGCCTGTCAGAGTCACGAGTCCAAACCCACCTTCCTCCCCGACCCCGCCTCCTCCTCGTGATCTCCCTCTGGGCTAATGGCGGTGCCAGGACCAAGGGACATCCCCTTCCTCTCCCGCCGCATGCCTGCTTCTCATCAGTAAGCCGTCCACCTTCGTAATCCTTTTTGGAATCTGGCCCCCATGTGTCCCCGGAGCTTTATCTCAGCTCTGCCTGCCCCGCAGTCCCGCTGAATCACTTGCCCACTTTGTTTTCTCATGACTCCTTGCCTCTGCCCAGGCTTGTTCCTGTGCCCTTCTCCTTTGGCTCCGACATCACCTCTTCTGAGAAGCCTTCTCGGAGCTCCTGAGGCAGAGTAGAATGTCCCTTCTCCAGACATCTGTCATGGGGCGCCAACGTCAGGTGGGGGGGGGGTTCCTTAAAAATCTTCCCTCTCGACCATGTGCTACCCTCTAAAGCTGCTACCTGAGGTTTTGTCTCTGCTTCCCCAGAACCGGGCCCGCGGTGACAGCAGAAAGCATCTCTAGCCATCTTGATCCCTCCTCTTCTGAACCTTGGTGACACCTCCCCCCCCCCTCCCGCCGCACATGAGTTTTTCATGAACTTGTGACACAGGAGCCTGGCGGGGCTGGTGTTTTCTGTGCAGGGAAGGCCGACGGCCTGCCAGGGCAAGGCTGGCTCTTCTGAGCCCCTCACAAAATAAGAGGGGCCACGAGGGCCCTGGCAGTTTTAAACCACGGACCCTAAAGCCTTTGACATGCCTCCTCCATCAAGAGGTAGGGTCTCTGTAGCCTTCCCTTGAACGTGGGCTCTACGACGGCTACAGAGAGAGTCCACCCTGCGGCGGAGGCGGGGGGGGGGGGGGGGGTTTCAGTCAAAAGGCAATATCTTCTGCTACCACGGGAGCGATAATACAGCCCCCAGCTGTCAGGTCACCTGCACACTTTGCGTTTTTCCAACGATGGCCCCAGACCCAGTAGGGCAGAGAACTTGTCCCCACCTTGTCCTCTTGGAGTTCCAGACTCTCAGAGCCCAGGAGCGTGATCAAGTGGTTGGTTTAGGCCACTAGATATCACTACTCAGCAGTCGAGGACAGTGGGGACAGAAGAAAGGAGCCTGGGACTGGGCACCTAAGGGGCTCACGACACAACTGGCTGTGTCACCATCTAGCTATGTGCAGGAGAAACATCACTCGCCAGCTTCAGCCTTAGTCTTCCTACCAGTGCAGAGCCCGATGCGGGGCTTGAACTCATGAACTGTGAGCTCATGACCTGAGTAGAAACCAAGAGTCGGCTGCTTAACTCTTGAGCCACCTGGGTGCCCCTCTACCTGCAAAGTCAATGTTAATGGTGGCTAATGTACGGAGACGATGTGTCAGACGCAGCCAGTTAGCTAAAGCCGTGTAACAAATGATGCCAAAAGTTAATTGTCTAAGGCAATAAAAATCACCTCATAGTTTCTGCGGGTCAGAAATTCGGGAGAAGCTTCCCCGGGTGGTTCTGGCTCATGGTTTCCCATGAGGGTGCTTCAAGACGTCCATCAGGGTTGCGGAAGTCTAGGGTTTGACCGGGGCCGGAGGATCATCTCTCAAGACGTCTCACTCACGTGCCTGGCAGGTTGGCGTTGGCTTGTTGGCAAGAGGCCTCAGTCCTTTGACTCGCGGAGCCCCTCCACAGGACTGCTTGAGCGTCCTCATGACCTGGTGCCTCGGTTCCCCCAGAGCGAGGGGTCCAAGAGAGCGGGGCAGAATCCTCGCGGTCTCGTACGAGCTCACTCGGAAGTCACACACCATCCTTTCTGCGACATCCCTCTGATGACACAGAGGAGCCCTCGTCACTGTGGGAAGGCACCACATTCAACAGTGCTGGTGCCAGGAAGGAGTTTCATCGGCAGCCACTTGGCTACCGGCTGGCGACCACCCAGCTGTGTAGACACAGCTAATTCTCCAATGACACCGAAGGTACGTACTGCAAACAGATGCATCTAGAAGAGGAGGACACAGAGGCCCAGAAATGGGAAGTAACTTGCTCAGATTCACAGGGGGGTAAGTGATAGAGTCACAAGATGCCAACTCAGGTGGTCAGGCTCCCAAGGCGGGGTCTAAGCTACCATGACCCTGAAGACAGACCTTCAGCTCCTCTGTGGCCCGGAAGGAACAGGGTGGATTCAGGACCGCTTCCACTCCGGAAAGCCAACCGACAGACGCGTACAGGGTGGTGGGCTGGTGACTCCAAAAACTAGCAAGACAAATGCAGCCTGGGAAGGATGGGACCTGGGGATGGGGTGATGGAACGGGAGGGTTTCACCCAAGGGTCTAGGGAGAGCCAAACTTGGGGGCCCAAACAGTGAGGAAGCAGGGGCGGGTTGACCAGAGAATGCTTACGGTGAGGTCTGGGCACTCCTGTCCCCATCACTACCAGCAAAGGAGCTCTTGGCGTCAAAAAGTCTCCTTGGCCTCACCCTACCCAGGTGGCATTGTCTCACCCACTTGTTCAACAAAGGTTACTGAGCACTTATTGTACGAGCCAGGCACAGGACTGGGCAAGAGGGACGCGGCAATACCCGGGCGAGATAAAGTCCTTTTCTACCTGGAGCTTGGAATCTAGCAAGGGAGACAGACAAGTTACCGGCAAATTCTACAAGAATGAGTATGACGATGGGAAGGCGCAGGGATCTTGGGGTTTGGGGGAAGGGAGCAGATCAGGGAGGGACAGGCTTCCTGCCCTCAGCCAGAATGGGATAAGGGTGGGAGGACTTCCAAGCAGAGGGAAGAGCCACACAAAGGCTCTGAAGAGAGGTGATTTCCCTCGTTGAGAAGTTGGCGTGGGTGAGGCGGAAGGGGAGAGCCCAGTGACTTCAAAGATCAGGGCAGGAAAGCGGGAGCTGAGGGGGAACGAACGTGGTTCCCCGAAGGAGAGGGGAGTTTTCCGCGGAGGGATGGGCCCTACCCCCGACCCGAACCCAAGGCAGTAGACGGGGAGGACCCCAGCAGGCCTCTCCCTTCTGGTTCCCTGGCCTGTGGGGAAAGACTTGGCCAGTGGTGCCAACGTGCTCATCCTTCCCGGATACAGAGCCCACAGGGCAGGGCAGAGGTTGGGGAAAAGCAGACGAAGCGGGAGTGATGCCAGATCTGGGCCTCCAGGTTGAAGGGTGAGCAGGACTCCCCATCGTGGCTTAGAAGGGGCGCCCCTGAGGGTGGCCAGACAGTGCTTCCCCACACAGGTGGGGATGACAGAAGCTTAACTCCAAAAGTAAGAGATGAATAGGGACAAGGGGAGGAATAAAGAGGCCTCTCTGATTCCCTGGGTTTTGTCCAAGCCCCAGATGAAGGTGGGGCTGAGCCTCTGTGTCTGGTTTCCTGCTGGGGCAGAGGACCTGGGCCAGGAGTCCGGCCAATAATGCCCCCTCTCTTCACCGCCTCTCCATCCCGTCGCCAAGGCCGAAGCAGGGCCAGTCTCTGTCTCCAGAACCAATGGGAAGAGCCCCTTCCCTGAACTCCCTGCTCCTTCTCCCAGCCCCTTTTCCCAGCCCCTTCCTGCAGCAGGGTGGTTCTGTCACTCCTCCGTTCAAACCTTTCAGTGGTTATCAGGGCCCTTAGGCAAGGCCCAAGCTCCTGACCATGTTCTCCAAAGCGTTGCAGAAATCCAACCAGGGCCATGGTCATGGCTGCTTGTTCACTCGGGTCCCCAAAACCTGGCATGGTGCAAGCTTGCTGAGGGGTGAACTGATGCCCGGTCTGGCTTCCACCAACCTCTCTGGCTGCACCTGCCTTCATATACCCCCAAGCGCGCTTCACGCACACGTTCAACTCCCAGAGGACCCCTCCAGTGCACCCGGATCTGTGAAGACACCGGACTCAGAGAAAACTCAGGCGTTGCACGCTCTTCCTC